GTACTGCGCTAGTCAAGTAACTAGAAGACCTCATTTATTGTCCTAGTAATGTCTAGCAACTCTCCTTGCCTAGCTAGCTAACTTCCCTCAGATCGGCTTCGGCCTGGCTACGACACGGAGTCCCTTGTGCTGGCTCCGGCTTCTGTATCGGTCGGCTATCCTGCCAAGTCTTGTACTACTTATGGAATATATCTACTGCTCGTGCCCTGGAGTTTGAAGAACCTTGTCTAGGATATACATCCCACCACATTTTACATTGAAATACAGTACGTTTCAGCAAAACTACTATTTATTTCTGAGAATATATTCATTCAGGCGCTGTTTAGGTAAATTATACATGTGATGTAACATTTTTTTCAACTGAAAACGATTCGAAAAACACGTACCCTCTAGCCCTGTTCAAGGTGAAGAGTGGGAGGAGCTGTTTGGTGCTGAAGACGATGACAGGGAAAATGATTTTGATGGATTTTAATAAAAATATTCAGAAATATGGTATCTTAGAATTTATTCCAGTGAATTAGGATAGAATATTATTGTAATACAACAGTAGTGACGATGTGGAGGAGGCAGAGGGATAGAGCGGTGAGGAGTGGTGACTGGCGGGAGCAGGGAAAAGTGGAGATGCCAGCCAATACATTACGGGTGTACAGTATTAATTGTTTTTATAGCTCTTTTTTCATTTTAATATTAAATACTGTACATTACGTTTCAACAAAACTACTGTTTATTTCTGAGAATATGGAAATGTAATATTTTTGCTGAAATGACGTTCGTATTACAGTGGAAAATGGGATAAAATTGTGACGAAAGCAATGACTTTCGCTTTCTTTCGTTCAAAAGATGTTACCGTAATCACTTTTCGAATGGTTTTCAGTTGTGGGATTATGAGGCTAATGATAGGATAGAATATTATTGTAATACAGTACGGTACAACAGTTTTTTAACTGAAAACCATTCGAAAAGCAATTACGGTAAAATCTTTTGAACAACGAAAGAAAGCGAGTCATTGTTTTCGTCATGATTTTATCCCACTTTCCACTGTAATATGTACGTCATTTCAGGCAAAATATTACATTTCCATATTTATTTCTGAGACTATATTCATTCAGTCACATTTAAGGTAAAATATACTTCTGATGTAATATTTTAATAAAAATACGGTATCGTAGTTTTCTTTTGTTTCAAATTTAATTAACAAAGATTGATGTTTCAAATGTAATGAAAAAAAAATTTATGTACAGTATCTATAAATAAACTTTAAAAAATGAATAATTTGTTTTACATCGTCCTGTGCATGCCATACCATGCATTTGGCTACTTTGGGCTTGCTATGATGACGCAAGAGATCTGCCCTGGCAACTGTACTGACTCTAACAGCTGGTGGTGCGTTGGTGCGTCGTTTCCATTGTTTACTGGTAGTTACTGGTAAATATTTTTCAACCTAACTTAACTATTAAAGGTTAAGAGGTCGACCCCCATTTCTTGCCAAATAATTTGGTCTTAAAAACTCGAACTACACACAGGTATATACGGTAAATAAGGACATGGGGGGCCAGGGTTTTTTTTGGGGAGCAGCAAAAGTACACGGATTTTTAACATTCACGGGTATCTCTGTTACCTAACCCCCGCGTATGTTAAGGGTCGACTGTATAATATTTTTTTACACCAACAGTATATGGTATTTTGATTTTCTTTACTGTATTCATAAGGCACACTAGCACATCGAGATGAATTTTCTGCAAATTCTGTGGTTACTTATATATAACAATGGCACAGTGCGCAGGCATGTGAGAGGTGACCGACGTATTTTGTTGAGGTACAAACTTAACACTTGCATGGCACGTGTGTTACTTATTACGATTCTTTTGTACATTATAATAGACATTGTAACACCAGTTCTGCATCAGATTCAGTTACACACACACACAGACTTAACATAAAACAGTGGATGATGCAGACAACGTAAATTATGTGAAATGAATGATGTATAAAGAAAATTTCTTCCTATACTGTACTGTCTTTCTTAGCAATGTATGAGAAATGATGTACAGTACGATCTCATATTTCGCAAAATTTCATTTCGCTAGCACTACCTAATGTAAGCCTTATATTTCGCGTAAAATATCATGAGTTTCGCGAGATCGAGCCAGCTTAATGCTGGCCACCATCTTGAATGATGTCACAGCCCTCACACCAATTACAGTTATTTCTACTACAACGCGTGTTTTTCAACACGAATTGGTTGTAACGCGATTGATGAACAGGGGAACGCTGTTTGTAAAACACGAACTTTTGCAAACGAATGTTGGCTATAGCGCGATTCCATCCTCAATGTTTTAATTGTGGCGCGGGGTTATGCAATGTTTACAGTTCACGTTCGACATCACATGTTCAATTGATTCGTGTCTTTTGTTTGTGAAGTGTTTTTTGAGAGGTACTCTAAATTTTTTTTTTTTTTTTTTTTGCAAATTTTGCTGTTACCCATAAATACCGTATGAAAAGAATAAGTAAAAGAATGTTTCGCAGTGAGGACTAATAACGGTTTACAGCAGAGCTCCCTGCTTACATCACATGATCTGTTGAATCGCGCGGTTTCTGTCGATTACTCCGTGATTTTCGCTGTTTTCTCCAATTTTGTTGTGTTAGCGGTGAATACGAAAAGACAAGGTAAGAAGAATGTTTCCAAGAAGTGTTCTGGTGATCAAATTGCCGGTGGTGAACGTAAAAGAGGTTTACAAGAATGCAACTATCGCGTTGTAGCCCACGCCATCCTAGAGACTGCCCAGGCTGCTATAGTGTGCTTTTTTGGGTGGTGCTACCACCTGTCGAGTCAAGATAATGGCCTCTACCTCTACTGGTGCTGGTGGGGGGTGGGACAGACACACCTAAGGGGCCAAATAAGGAAAAGGACATGCCAGACTATCATAAGGGAGTTATGTTTGCCAGGTACTCGACGCAGGATAAGCAGCGTGTGATTAAATTACTTGAGGAAGGCCAAAAAACTAGTTTCCGGAAAGCACAATCAGGTCAATAAAGGCAGAATTTGTATCATTTGGAGGTTATAAATGGGAAAATCAGAGGTTGATGTAGAGTGGCCGGTCTATATTGTTATTTTTCCCATTAGTTTATTTATTGCATTTGGCGAATTTGAATTTGGCGCAATTTTTCCAGTCTATATTACTCACAAAATACAAGATCTTACTGTACACCAGTACAACATATAATGAGAGCTCCTATACATTTTTATGCTTTCATGTTCCAACATATATATATATTTTTTTTTACATTTGGGGTGGTACTGGGGTAAACTGGTTCACTTCTGGCAAGTACAGCACACGTATTTTTATTACACAGAATTTATTTTATACTTAGGTGGCCCAAACAGGACTTTGTCTTGTGTAGCCGCACCCAATAAACTATTTCCTACAATTCATAACAAAAACTTATGAAAGATTTTTTGCCAGAATATTTATTTGTTTGTGTGTGGTGGTAGCAGAGGGGTGGGGGATTGGCCTACTTTAGGGGCTAATGGCTGCTCCTCATTGTGTGAAACTCGAGTAAAATAATTTCTCCAAATACCTGATCTGGTGATTTCTTTGAGAACCAATAACATTTAGAAACAATAGGGAAAATCTATAATTCTTATAAAACTTCAAACTAAATTTTATTAAAAATTTCTCATTTATCACACATTCTTAACACTTCCTATAATGCTTTTCAATCAATTTTATCATATTCACTTAGTATTAAAAAATAAAAAATAAAGATAAAATGTAGAATAAGTGTTGTTCAGAATATCCACCAACACAACTCTTTGAAGACAGGAAGCTCGTGAAGGTAGATGTACAAAACCCTGTTTTGGGGGTGAATGGTTATGGGATATGTGATCCTTCCTCAGCCTTTGAATTGAAACAGTTTATTTAGCCAGAAAAACACAGATACAGAGTGGATAATAATAACAATATTAACATGGCTGAGCCAGTTGAGAACCTGAGCTCTCTAAGTCACCACCAAGATGGATGTTCAAAGCATTGATTCAACCTTAGTTTCACTGAGAAAGGATTGATGATTATTGTCTGCCTGAATAATGTACACCAATTCCCCCATTAACGTCATTTCATTATAAAGTTGTTGAAAAATAAAAATAAAATTATGTATAAAAATGATAAATGTACAACAATTTAAAAAATTGGGTATGAAGGCACTCAATGCCTGACTGTGTTAACAGCAGGTTGTGTAAGTGACCAGAGTAGGTGCCATATTTATTATTGTTCAGTGGTTGGTTGATGCTCTTCCAACATTCACTTAAAATCCAATTATAAATTTATTTGACCCCTAGAGCAATGAGTGCTAAACATGCATTATGGACCACTACCAGTTGTGGTCACAGAAAGAAAAGGAAAAGTGTTACATTAGAAGTTAAATTAGATGTGGCAGAGAGATTGAAGGAGGACAGTGAATTGTGCTCACAGCGAGAGCTGTAGGTAAGAACAACTTGTGGAAATGCAGAAAATATCAGAGCATGTGTTGAAAGTGTTACTCTATTATCTGCAACAAAGTTAACTCGTAACAGAAGTGGCATTATGTAAAATATGGAAAGACTGCTGAACATTTGGATCGAAGATCAACATAAATGAAACTCTCCATATTGGTTGCTCTCCATACAGGTAAAAGCTTAAGTTTATTTGAAACTTTAAAACAAGAAGGTGATAGTGATGAAAGTGAAACAACTGTGGCAAGTTGAGAAAATTTTGACCAGAAATGTACCCAAGGAACAAAACCCCTATTTATATCATTGTCAATGGTGAAATCGTTTTCCCTCAAAGTCGTGGTTTTCTTGAACCTAACAATGACGTTAGTGGGGAAATTGGTGTAGTCTACCACTAAACAGGTCACTGCCTTCAGCATAATGGCAGACTATCACTTTTTTTTTTTTGACTCATTGTTCACTTGTTGAGCCACAAGCTGTAAAATCACATTCGTGTTAACCCTACACTCACCTGCGGAGTGTTTCTGAATGGAGAGTGCTTGTTGTGCGAGATTCTGGGGAGTGGCTGGCTTTTCTGGGAATGGTTTGTCAGCAGGGGAAATAATATCTTGATTTTCACTTTTGTTTTTTTCATTCAGTTCTGAAAGACTTGATTGACTCTTTGAGGATCTGGTTTTCGTTTTTCGAGCTGGGGATTTTGGCGCCACAAAACGACTCTTGTTATTCTCCTGTGTGTCAAAATTCATCATCAATATCTACAGCATATATACATTAAAAAGAAATAAGTAAATAAAATAAATAATGAACATTTTAAATTGTCTTGGCAACTCAGCAGGAAACATCTTCTTACCTTGACGGAGTTACTGTTACCAAATAGGCGTGATGATCTGCGAACGCTTGGATTAGGTTGACCCGTTGGGGGACTTTGGAAGTTGCTATTGTTCCCTGCCGGTGCAAATACAGCTGGTTTGTTGAGGACCAGAGGAGAATCTTTTGTGTTTCTACATAATATCTGAAAGTGGGAATTAATTGTCACTATTAAACATACAGTACCAGGTAGCAAATTATTCACACCAACAAAATCCTGCAGTTTTATTTGACAAACTTGAAGAAAATACAAAGTTTACTAAGTTTTCTCAAAGCAAATGTAACTCCAAGGGGACCATGAAAATAGGGTTTGATGATAAGAGGAAAAGCTGATATCAATATACTGTACTCTACTGTAACCTGCACAATATATCAATAAACCTAACTCAAAATCTTTTTAAATATCAACATATTAATACATGACCAAACCACTACATCAGTGAGAGGTCAGCCTTAGCACAACACATCCTCCTGGAGCAGTAGTTAAGTTTAGCTGGCTACACCTATGGTTGCCTCAGCTGACACTCATTTCTATCATTAAGTAATTTTCACTAGCTACATCAATTGTGAAATATTAATCCTTCAGAAAAAAAATAAAAAAAATATTATGTAGTGCTATCAATTATTACCTCAACACTGCCCAAATCTAGTACAGTAATGCTCCAGTCACTGTACTGTATAGTAAAACCTCGATAAATCAAAGTTCAATATATCAAAATTCACTTTTTTGGACTCTGTGAAGTGCTATGGTCACTGGGAAAAAATAAAAATAAAATAAAAATAAATTATATATATATACAGTAATACCCACGCGGTCAATTGAACCCACAAGGTACCGCGGAAAGTGAAAACCACGTAAAGTGAACAACAGAACATATGGGATTAATTCCAATAGAGACTGGCCCGACCCCCAAACTCCACTTTTTCCGACACAATACCTATGTTGTAGTAAAAATAACATCTAAATTTTATGATGGTATGCTCACACAATTAATATTTAAGAGAAATACAGTCGCCAGGTTAATGTCCATTCAAATAATGGACTCAAATCGCCCCCCTCTCTTCCCAGCTCACTAGCTCCTACCTCTCTCAGAAATGTTTGGGTGAAACCACTAGATTTTAACGTTTAGTAATAAATAATACCTCAGACTAAAGTTAGGATAATATAATTGACATTTCTGGATTCCTTGCAGGTCAGGGAATATTTTGAATGTAAACTTCATATATTTTGCACAAAAGATAAAATATTTGCTTTGTGTAAACCAAATTATTACATTAGATCTAAAATTTGTATGTCTAATGCAAAATCCATGATGTTTATATTCAAAATGATCATCATATTGTAAGAATTCCAGCAATGTAAATTATATTCTGGCCGGGTAATTTGTATGAATTTTATGAGCTAAAACAAATATCTTCAGTAAATAAACAAAGAAATATTCTTCAAAGACACTATCTGTCAATCAAAGTACCCCACCTTGCCTTCCCCCCCTCCTCACACTCACGCCAGCTGGGTCAGTTGGTCCCAACCCTCCCCCCCACCCCCACCTTCCATCCCTACCAGAGAAATGTTTGGGTGAAAAAACTAGATTTTAACTTTCAGTAATAAATAATACCTCAGACTAAAGTTAGGATAATATAATTGACATTTCTGGATTCCTTGCAGGTCAGGGAATATTTTGAATGTAAACTTCATATATTTTGCACAAAAGATAAAATATTTCCTTTGTGTAAACCAAATTATTACATTAGATCTAAAATTTGTATGTCTAATGCAAAATCCATGATGTTTATATTCAAAATGATCATCATATTGTAAGAATTCCAGCAATGTAAATTATATTCTGGCCGGGTAATTTGTATGAATTTTATGAGCTAAAACAAATATCTTCAGTAAATAAACAAAGAAATATTCTTCAAGGACACTATCTGTCAATCAAAATACCCCACCTCCACCCTCCCTCCCTACCAGAGAAGCGATTGGGAGAAAATAGTATACAGTGACCCCTCGGTTAACGAACTCAATCCGTTCCAGAAGGTCGTTCGTTAACCGAAACGTTCGTTAACCGAAACCATTGTTTCAATGGGTTTTTGGGTAATTGGTTCCAGCTCACCGAAAATTTCCTAAATTCAACAAAAATGGTAGAAAATTTCACTTACTTTGAGGTGTGTATGTAGAAGGCTCCTGGATGATGATGATGATGATGGGAATTACAATGGGGGTGGAGGAGAAGGAAGAAGAGAAGGCATTGGGGTGGAAGAGAAGTCACCCCATGGCACCATTTCACCCATAAAATTTTAGTTCTCTTGGTGTATTTCAAGATTATTTTCTTTAAATCAACACTGTACTGCATTATATATTGTCAATATGTAAAATATATTTCAAAATGACCAATAATTTGCTTGGAAACACAGAAAAAAAGCGTTTAGTTGAAGAGAGTCTCAAGCAAGATATTACCTCCAGTGAAAACAGAGAGACTAACGCCTGTTTGCTGTGTTAAGAGGCTGGATGCTGCGCATTAAACTAGTCACTTTACCTTCAATTATGTTCAATAATTGTTAAAATGACTAAAAAATTTAATATTAAACTTTTAAAATTATTGAATAGTATAAACTTCTTGATATTTACTAAAATAGTTAGGAATTTAAGCCCTAGAACCGATTAATGTATTGGTGGACTGATACTAAAGCTGGTTGCCCGGCCAGTGCAAGCGAAAACATGTTGAGGTCGGTTCGTAAGAAATTCGTTAACCGAATTTTTGTTCGTTAACCGAATTGAAGATCCTTATGGAAGGCAGTTCGTTAACCGAAATTTCGTTAACCGAGGCGTTCGTTAAACGAGGGGTCACTGTATTTACATTTTTAGTAATAAATAATAACCCAGACTAAAGTTAGGATAATATAATTGACATTTCTAGATTCCTTGCAGGTCAGGGAAAATTTTGAATGTAAACTTCATATATTTTGCACAAACGATAAAATACTTGCTTTGTGTAAATCAAATTATTACATTAGATCTAAAATTTGTATGTCTAATGCAAAATCCATGATGTTTATATTCAATTAGATCATCATATTGTAAGAATTTCAGCAAAGTAAATTATATTCTGGCAGGGTAATTTGTATGAATTTTATGAGCTAAATAAAAAAATAAAAAAGAAAAATTAGACTTCACCACGTATATGAGTAGATGCACCGCGTAAAGTGAAAGTCCGGTTCTGGCAAGGTACTGAGTAATTGAGAAATCGCGGAAAGTGAAACCGTGTAAAGCGGGGTAATACTGTATGTATGTATGTATGTATGTATATATATATGTATATATATATGTGTATATATATATATGTATATATATATATATATATATATATGTATGTGTATATATATATATATATATATATATATATATATATATATATATATATATATATATATATATATATATATATATATATATATATATATATATATATATATATATATATATATATATTGGTTGTCTTTATTCAAGACATCTGAAGATGTCTTGAATAAAGACGAAGCTAAGGTACTCCGTTGTTTTTTCCCATTTTATCAAGATTTATCTTATCCACGTTTTCATTGTGGATTTACATGATAATATATATATATATATATATATATATATATATATATATATATATATATATATATATATATATATATATATATATATATATATATATATATATATATATATATATATATATATATATATATATATATACATATATATATATATATATATATATATATATTGGAATTAGTTAATTTTACCACCACACCTCCCCGTTAAGTACAGTACTGCGGTGTCCCTCAGGACTCATTTAGTTTAAAACTCGGGTCGAAACATGACGACCCCCTTCAAGGGAAGATGTTGTTTAATAATACGAGCGTTAGTCACTGAATACTGCACAGTGGTCTAATCAGATTTGCTATAGGCCTACTGAGAACTAAGACACTTGAGTAGGTAAGCAGGCTGGGGCTGATCGGGTGTTGCCACATTCGTCAAGTTTCTTTATTTATTGATTCAGTATTATAACCTCATATGATTGGCCTCTTATGGTTCACCATGACTAATATAACATCTTCAGTTACAGGAAAATACAATATGTAATTTGTAATATGACGTGAAAATAAAAGGATAAGCTATATTGGAAGGTCTGCATTCGTATGAGAGCTTTCAGCAGAACAGCTTACAACAGGGTTACCCTAACACACTATAGTACTTCATATGAAAATACCTTCCTAACAATGTTATTTCTTACCTTTGTGTTATATGATGGCTCAATTTGGCTACTTGTACACTTAGTTAACTGATTAATGAATAAACCAGGGTACTATATGCAGATGCATAATGCTGTACACTATAATATTAATTATTAAGTAATAATAAATACACTACAGTAGTAGTTATTAAGTGGTGATAAATACACAACTGTACTATACTAATTTACTAAGTGCTGAAGGCAGAAATTGTGGTAAGCAGCTAAGCCTATGAGCTGTTTGGCCTTTGTAAACAAACGATTCATGGTGTTCAGTGTGGGATTCTTTTTTCAGGAAAGTTGATTCTCTTAGGATAATATTTTATCAACCTGGCACCAAACGAACCTAAATGATATGAGAATTAGGATGAAATGCATAAAGACGTGTTAAAGGGACCATGGGGGAGAGAGGAGGAGGGAGCCACCCACCCATGCTATGCCCACCCCACCCTCAGCCAGCTGCTCCCAGGTAACACACTGTCTTCAACATACAATAGACCCCTACACTTATTTGTTCCTATTTTTATCTTTACAGTACTGAACAGTATAGTTTTCATTTTATTCAGAAGATAAATTCTGTGCTTACTTAGAAATAAAACTTTACAGTAAACAGTAAATAACAATGATCTCTGTGAAAACTGTTGTTTACAACCAGACGATGTCTGATTTTCAACCCAGAGAGCGGTTTCATATTTTTTTTAGTGTTGATGTAATAGTCTTTTAGTAACTTTGTTATACACTTAAAGACCTTAGTTGATGAAGTGCAGTAATAACATAACTGATTTTCTTTAAACAGTTCAGACAAGCAGTGTTATCCCCCCCCCCCTCCACATATCGAAGTTCTACTGTAGTTTCCCCAAGTTGTTGGGCTGAAGCCTTACAGGAAGAGCATCTTCCCTTAGCACCTTTAATTCTTTTCCAACCTCCTCAATGACTGATGATTCACAGGGTTTATGCTACTTTGAGATTTCTTCCCAGAATTCTTTGGATACTGTACACTTCAGGTCTGCTGAATGCACAGCTAAGTCACTTACAGTGAGAGACCAGGTGCCAACCTTAACACCTGTGTTAGTAAGGTTGGATATACAACCAACCAACTGAGCTGCTAATACAAGTGAAATAACTTTTGCAACCCATATGAAATAAAGGCTGGAATCCATTTTAATATAAGAGTTATATGGCACAACTATAATGATGTCTTCCCGAAGTGTTAATATATGTGGTACAAACACAACTTTGTTTATGAAGAGTATATACTATATCTATCCTGAGAATGAGGTGTGTGAAGTAGGGAGATGGTTGTACTGTGGCTTGTTGTTAGATCTCAAAGATGGCTGATATTACACAGGGGAAGGCTATGATGTACAAGCTCATGTATAACCAAGAATTGTTTACATCTCAACCTTGAGGGAAGACTTTCACTTCCCAGAACCCTCTCTGAGCCATAATATCACAGTTATACAAATTGTTTGATTAATGCCTGCCATCATTGTTGAGGGTTGGCCTGAACTGTAACCCACAAGACTTGTTGGGCTTCTGGACCCACTATGGTTACAGTCTTCTTGGACCTAGTAAGTTAAATTGTGAAATAAAAAACAAGAATCACTGGTAATAGAGAAGCTTAACATACCACCATTACTACAATTACAGTACAATTTTACAGGCATAGAGTATCAGTACATGCTAAGGCCACAAGTCACTGAAATATAGTAAAAACGGAAAATAAATGTTAAGGAAATTTGCATTTTAATCACAATATTAATGTAAAATGTCATATGTGCACAAGTCTGAAATACTGAACAAACTGGCCACACATCTTGGTTCTCCGGCACATGAAAAGGAGTCAAGAAACTATTGCACCTACAGTACAACACTGTAATGCAGATGTTTGATCCTAATGATAGATATCGGTACTAGATGGCTTGTCAACAAGTTTCTGAGCAGAAAGATTTTGGAGTTATCATTTTCCCCAAGATTATATTTTAATGTTATAGTACAACCATGAAGATTATTTTAAGAAGTCATGCTCATACATATTTATATACAGTATTAAGAAAAAAGCACCAGTAACAATTTTCATACTTACCCTTTTACTAATAGGGGGAGGAACTTTGGTGTTAGGTTCAGTATCGAGCTGAGACAATGAGAGAGGTGAAGGTGTGAGGAAGGCCACAGAACTATTTAATGATGACTGTTCACTCTCAAACATAGGACTTGTCATCTCTAGGGGCAGCATCCCAAAACTGGGAGTCAAGGGACTTAAGGAGAGGGGTCCGCCCATCACACTCCTAATTCGAACAAGTTTCTTCTTTTTGGGAGCCTGAAGGATACCATCCCCAGATTCTCCAACACTTCTGTCCACTGTAGGCGTAATAGTCACAGCAACCGGAGTATTAAGAGAGGTTAATGGTACAGGCGTATTCACATTACTCAAGTTCTGCACTGGTGTATTCACCACTGGTAATATATTATTTGGAGTGTTCTGCAGAGGAGTTATAGCCGGAGTCTGTTGAATAGTATCTTGACTGTTCACTGACACACTGCTTAAGGTATTATTTAAGACTCCTGAGTCTGAGTTGACACTAACATTATTTGCTGGATTGGCACTATTTACTAGAGTGAGCACCGTACTGCCATGGCAATTAGAAAATGTCTCTAATGAATCCAACCTGAAAACTTTTGAGGGATCTGATTTGTCCCCCTGATCACAGAGTGCAACAAATGAATGCCATAAGAATGGGTTGAGCTTCAACGACCGCTTGAAGGCTTCCGCTGCTCTCATGAGACGTTCAGTTCTAGCACAGATGAGCCCAAGGAGCTGCAGAGCAAAACACGCCAAGTCCCCATATTCAGTGGCTAGATCATCAACTGTTTTTGGGTGCAGAACACTACCACCAGTCAGCACTGTTTCTGACTCCTCCAACCTGTAGGAAGAATGGGTAGGATACTATGAAGGAAAAAAAGAAGAGAAAAAAGTACCTGTATAAATTGATAATAAGTACAAACAGGGTATCACAGAAACTGTAGAAAATCTTCATACACTGCAATTGGAATTTTCAGTTAATCAAGAAAGCTTGTGAGCTAGTACAATTTTGTCTTTTATTTGACCCTTGACAATATGTTGAGAAAAAATCAAAACATTTACTGAAAAGTTGATGTAGCCAAATTGCTCTTCCTTGCTGTACAGAATACATTACTGTACTACTTACTTTCCAAGGTCAAAGCAGCACCGGGCCATAAGGAACCTGAGTTGTGGTGTGCGTGTACCATGTGCATGAAGGACAGAGTATGCGCGGCCTGGCTTCCCTGAGCGGTAGTATGATGTTGCTACCAGGTGTAATGCCTCGTCGGAGTCCACTACAACAAAGAGGTAGATTATAAAAAACATCATTACATACTTTGGATTCAAGTAATTTATAAAAATAAATAAATAAATTAATTAATAATGTATCTAATCCACACATCATCTTCCTGGTCTAGATCCATGTTACTGTTCTTCACCATATACTGTACACAACTATGTACAGTACTGTATATTTTTTAACAATTCTCTCCGTATTAATTCTCATACAATTCCCTGGTATAACTCCACTCACTTGTTCCTCTACAATTTTCACAATCACTCTGATCCCTTTTTCCTTTACAATAAGAAACAATATATTCTCTCTAGGAAGATTACAACTTGGAGGTGACAAGATAAGAGCCAATATGTAATACAGCACAGTATTGAGAAGAAACAACTTCTGCAGGTCCTTTCCTGATGTAACCTGCTCACCAACTGTAATAAATGAAAGCAATATCCAAACAATCCTGTCTATAACATGGAGGAACTGATAGCTCATTTAACCAGAAGACTACAGAACTAGAATCCATAATAATCCTTTGAAATAGCAGCTATGAACTAATCAATTGATTAGATCCACCTTCCATCTTCAATCACACTTCAAATACAGTAAAACCCTATAACTCAGCACCTGTGGTGCTGAGACCATGCCAAATACAGGAATAGAATTTGCCGACTCATTGGAAATGAGCCTACAGCATACTGTACTGTTCAGTATATACAGTGGTCCCTTGGTTAACGAACTCAATCCGTTCCAGCAGGTTGTTCGTTAACCGAAACCATTGTTTCAATGGGTTTTTGGGTAATTGGTTCCAGCTCACCGAAAATTTCCTAAATTCAACAAAAATGGTAGAAAAGTTCACTTACTTTGAGGTGTGTATGTAGAAGGCTCCTGGATGATGATGATGGGAATTAAAATGGGGGTGGAGGAGAAGGAAGAAGAGAAGGCATTGGGGTGGAAGAGAAGTCACCCCATGGCACCATTTCACCCATAAAATTTTAGTTCTCTTGGTGTATTTCAAGATTATTTTCTTTAAATCAACACTGCACTGCATTATATATTGTCAATATGTAAAATATATTTCAAAATGACCAATAATTTGCTTGGAAACAAAGAAAAAAAGCATTTAGTTGAAGAGAGTCTCAAGCAAGATGTTACCTCCAGTGAAAACAGAGAGAGACTAACACCTGTTTGCTGTGTTAAGAGGCTGGATGCCGCGCATTAAACTAGTCACTTTACCTTCAATTATGTTCAATAATTGTTAAAATGACTAAAAAATTGAATATTAAACTTTAAAAATTATTGAATAGTATAAACTTCTTGATATTTACTAAAATAGTAAGGAATTTAAGCCCTAGAACCGATTAATGTATTGGCGGACTGATGCTAAAGCTGGTTGCCCGGCCAGTGCAAGCGAAAACATGTTGAGGTCGGTTCGTAAGAAATTCGTTAACCGAATTTTTGTTCGTTAACCACATTGAAGATTCTTATGGAAGGCAGTTCGTTAACCGAAATTTCGTTAACCAAGGCGTTCGTTAACCGAGGGATCACTGTATACCATATAATGAAATAAAAACAGAGTTGTATTAGGTACAGTACTTATGAACAGCAAGGGGCAATTTCTTGACGAGTTTGCAAGGGACAGATGAACTGGATTGTGTGCAACATCTCACAGGCACTGTACAGTACAGAATATTTTTCTGACAAAGCTAACACTACTGATGACTATTCATGACAGTAACACCTCACAAGCACTATAAATACCTGTAATTGTTCTGTCAAACTTAAGATTACACTACCTGTATACTGTATTACAGGTTGACAATCCCTTATCCAAAATCCTTGGGGCCAGAGGCATTTCGGATTTTGGAATTTTTCGGTTTTCAGAATAGTTAGGTTTTTTTTGTATTAGCCCATCCGGGCACAAGTCATTGACCCACATTGGGGCCTGGGGGGTGAAAATAGAATAAAAATTATAATAATAATAATAATTATTCATAGGTCTAGGTCATGTTTCTCACTTTTGATCTTTTTTTCATTCTTGTATTTCTTTATTATTATTTTATTATTACAGTATTATCGTTATTATTATTATTAATTTTTTATTATATGTTATTATTATTATTGTTATCATTATTATTTTATTTTGGTGTATTTTTTATTTAAATTTTATTTACAGTACTATGAATAATTATTATTATTATAATTATCATTACCATTACATTTTCACCCCCCAGGCCCCGATGTGGGCCAGTGATCTATGCCCGGGTGGGCTAATCCCTGTTATATACCGTGTGTGTGTGTGTATATATATATATATATATATATATATATATATATATATATATATATATATATATATATATATATATATATATATATATATATATATATATATATATATATATATATATATATATATATATATATATATATATATATATATATACAGTGGGGTATGCTATAACGAACGAAATTGGTTCCAGAACCTCGTTCGTTATAGGATTAATCTGTTCCAGGCCCCCAAATACAACCACTTAACACTGAAAAAATTCTGTGGAAAATGTAAAAAATACGGTACTTTATCTTACCTTAGTGTTATTCAGCATGCAGGTACCCCTAAACACTGGCACATCACTATCACTTCCACTGGGAGTCTTGGCTTTAAGGTCCTCAAACAATTGTTTAGCCTTCTCACAAATTATAGCTTCACTAATGTTACCACCTGCCATTTCTTTCTCCTTTATCCACACTAAGAGTAAATTTTCCATCTCTTCAATCACATTACACCTTGCTTTGCTAAGTCTAAAGATTCCCTTAGCCACTTGCACAGAGTTCTTCAAAATCGTACATATAGTCGATTTAGCCATCCCATATTCATCACTAAGTTTCGCAATGCTTCTTCCATTCTCACGTTTCTTTATAATTTCTTTCTTAGTTTCAAGGGTTATTAGCTTTCTCACTCGCTTTGGACGATTCATTGTTACAATTGTATACTTGTAAAACAAAATAGTTACAGTATACAAATAACGCGAATTTCCACATCAAAAGACGAAATTTCAAGAATAACAGTGGTGCACTGGCTACACAATGAGACAAAGATGGCGCCTGACGCTCTTGTTGTGGGTCGCGGTACAACAATATTCATGCGCCAGGCGAAATAGTCCCGTATTCATCCGCGTTCGTTGTAAGAGTTGCGTTCGTTATAGCATTCTCAATTTTATAGGTAAAACTGTTCGTTATAGGAATATTCGTAGTAGGATCCGTTCGTTATAGCATACCCCACTGTATATATATATGCTGATAACCACATATATATATATATATATATATATATATATATATATATATATATATATATATATATATATATATATATATATATATATATATATATATATATATATATATATATATATATATATATATATATATATATATACATACATATACATACATATATATATATATATATATATGCTGATAACCACAAGGAAAGAAGAAAACACGAAGTTCCCAAGCTGTAATTCACATCTTCAGGGTGAGTACAGACTAGATCACGCCACACCTACAGTGATTTTATTTGCATATACAGTTGTACCCCACTTAACGGGTCAATTGAACCCACAGGGTGCTAAGTGAAAACCGCTGCTAGTGAACAACAGAACATATGGGATTAATTCCAAGAGAGACTGGCCACCCCAAACTCCACTTTTTGACGACACACAACTATGTTGTAGTAAAAATTTTATCTTAACTTTATGATGGTATGCACACACAATTAATAATTAAGAGAAATATCAATAATATTAGGTTTTTTAACACTTGCATTAGTAGAAAAGATGGCTGGGCACACGGGGATGGGGGGTTGGTTCCGAGGCAGAGGGCAGATTATTGGCCCTCACCTGTATCACTTGTATCAATTGTATCACTATCCACCACAGAGGCTTGCAGGGCCTCTTTGTCAAACCCCTCAAAGGCCATATAAGTCCATATCCTCACTATAATTATCACTATCACTGACTTGGGCCGGCTGTGGTGGGTGGCGGGTGAAGAACTCGGTAATGTTTTGATGACTGGGCGACCTTGTGCGCATCGTGCCCGCGCCGCTTCCCGCGTATATGATGATATATAATTTAAGTGAAGTGTAGGCAGGCGTATATATATATATATATATATATATATATATATATATATATATAATATATATATATATATATATATATATATATATATATATATATATATATATATATATATATATATATATATATATATATATATATATATATATATATATATATATATATATATATATATATATATATATATATATATATATATATATATATATATATATATATATACAGTACTCCCTCTTTATCGACGGGGGTTACGTTCTGTAAACGGCCGTCGATAAAGAAACCGTCGATACCGTGATGGTTACGTAATTTTTCTAACTATTATTAACATATGTTGAATAAATGTACCTTTAAGCATTAATGCGTTTCCTTTACGCATAACCTTAAATAACAGTGTATAAATAATAATATAATAAGTGGACAAAAATACTAGCAAACTTACGATTTCATTTATTGAAGTGAACATCGGTCCTTACAGTAAACAAAACAGTGTACAGTACAGTAAAAGTCCAAAAATCCGGCTGCCCAAGGCAAATTGTTTACCATTTATTATTACAACACTTTACACTGAAACGCGGGTAGTTTCAACAAAAATATTGTATATTTCCATTCAAGTATTTATTCAAGTCAATTAGGAGGGAATATTATTGTAATACAACAGTTTTTTAACTAAACCATTCGAAAAGTGATTACGGTAACATCTTTTGAACGAAAGAAAGCGCAAGTCATTGTTTTCGTCACGATTTGATCCCACTTTCCACTGTAATACGTACGTCATTTCAGCAAAAATATTACATTTCCGTGAATGTATTATATCAAGCACAGTATGAATAGAATATCATTGTAATATAACAGAATTTTAACCGAAAACTATTAAAAAAACGAGTAACATCTCAAGAACATCGGAAGCTTAGGTAAAGTCTTTTGTTTCCGTCATGTATTTTATCCTATTTTACATTGAAATACATCACGTTTCAGCAAAACTACTATTTATTTCCGAGAATATATTCATTCAGGCGCAGTTTAGGTAAAATATACGTGTGATGTAATAATTTTTTAACTGAAAACGATTCGAAAAACACGTACCCTCTAGCCCTGTTCAAGGAGAGGACTGGGAGAAGCTGTTTGGTGCCAAAATAAAAATCCGGCTAAATAATCCGTCGATAATCGAAACCGTCGATAAAAAATCCGTCGATAAAGAGGGAGTACTGTATATATATTGATAAAATCACACGGGAAAATGGAAACAGCGGAGTACCTTAGCTTTCGTCTTTATTCAAGACATCTTCAGTTGCCTCTGAAGATGTCTTGAATAAAGACGAAAGCTAAGGTACTCCGTTGTTTCCATTTTCCCGTGTGATTTTATCAAGATTTATCTTATCCACGTTTTCATTGTACCTGTACCTCGATAAAACCACACAGGAAACACTGGAGCACCTTAGCTTTCATCTTTATTTAAAACATTTTCAGAGGCAACTTAATTTACAGGGACAGAGAGAGGCGTATATACAAAGGGTGACCTTACATAACATCAGGTCAGGTCAATAACAAGGGATCCACTAAACCACACACCACCTCCACCACACATAAAAGAAGAGCTTATAAATTTTGGTGACATAACAAGTTCCTACACTTAAAAATATTCTGACTACCATATCAATGAATTTGTCCTGTAAGTTCAATCCCTTAAATTACTAAACATTCATGTTGTTTTTAAGTATTACTCAACTATTACTAATATGTTAACTAAGGACAACCCAACCTTGAATATAAATGGAAGTGTTTACTGTATTCCATGTAGCAATTGTAATGGAAATTATGTAAGTCAGACTGGGAAAGCATTACAACTTAGAATAAAACAGAACAAGTATAATATTAGAGCAGCATCTGAAAGCAGTGCACTTTTTGCTCATATAAGGAACAATAATCATCCCATGGATTGAGAAAACAGTGTAAAAGTGTTTAAATCAACATATGTCACAGAAAGACTTCTGGTTGAAGCAAGTCTGATTAGGGGAATGAATTCTATAAACCTTAGTGATGGTCAGTACAAAACTGATAATATGTTACATAAATAAATTTGTCAGTGGCCTATGACTTGTTACGTAGCCCATTTTTATAAGCTCTTCTTTTATGTGTGGTGGAGGTGGTGTGTGGTTTAGTGGATCCCTTGTTATTGACCTGACCTGATGTTATGTAAAGTCACCCTTTGTATATAAGCCTATCTCTGTCACTGTAAATTCAGTACCTCTGAAGATGTCTTGAATTAAAACAAAAGCTAAGGTGCTCCAGTTTTTCCCTGTATGTGTGGTTTTATCGCGATTTATCTGGTCCACTTTTCCATTGTGGATCTACATGAAGTACTGTACTATATAAAACAGTATCTGTACAGTAACACTTCACAGCTCCTTAATTACTGTTAAAAGGTCTACCTGTTGAGAGGTGTTGATAAAGTGATGCTTCAGGTGTCAACTTAAAGAATTCTCACGCATGACTCGACTCCTGCCAACTTAAGAGTTAATTAGGCAACTGCTAAAAAATTTAATGGTTATCCAGTGCTGTGCCGTCTTATCGGATGCTAAGTTAAGGGTTTTTAACTGCATAGCCAATGTCATTTAGAACAAAAGGATTAAGAGTCATAATGGCATGAGAGCAGTACATGACCCTGAGAGATACAGCATCTAAACAATGACTCTTATACTGCACCTGTGACTCATTAAGGAGTTCTCCAGTCTGTACACAAGACTCTTAACAAGGATATATACTGTACTACTGTATTTTTCGCAGGCACGGATAAAACTCTCAACACCAATTAGCGCTAAGTAGTCAATCCTGACTCCCACTTTAGATGCAGAAAACCAGCCAATCAGGAATGGGCGTCTGGCCCACTTATCCCTTAATTAAAACAATACCTTTAAAAGTCAGGCTGAGTTACTTACTGTAGAATTAATCACAATATAACAAAATAGGATTAAAAATTTGGCACACACATGAATTCACTGAATTCATATAGAGCCATAACAACCTACAGTAGAAGTCCAAAAATCCGGACTACTTGGGGATTGGGTCGGTTCGGATTTTCGGGATTCTCAGGAGGTACTTTTAAAATTCAAATTTAAGGACGAATAAAGAAGAGATGAACAGGTACATTTTGATAATTTATTCATTAGCAAATATACCATGCCTCATTTATCAAAACGAGCAGTTTTATAGAAAAAGCTGTGAATTCTAGAATTTTATTCTTTGCCTTTTTTATATCATAAATTGTAGACTTTCCAATGTCGAATGTTTCCATTAGAACAGTATTGCTCACACCATGTTCTATTTTCTTAATTATTTCAAGTTTGTCACTCAATTTCAATGTGTTCTTCTTTCTCTTCACACAACAAAGTTTATCTACTTTAAGAGCCATTATTATGGGCTTGTACAGTACGTACTCTGTAAATGGAAAGAGTAGGACTCAAAATTACATACGTTGTCACAGTTTGATTGCTCGTTTTAAAGTGTCGACCTAGTGGTCGTTTGTTGTCGCTGTGCAGCTGTGGCGCTCACACATGCGCATATACACAGAAAAGCCCGCTAAATAATAATAAAAAAAAAGTTTGAGTTTTCGAAAAGTCCGGACTTCTGGCATCCGGATTTTTGGACTTTTACTGTATCTTGAAATAACTGTGTGATCCAGTCATAAATAAACCTTGAGTGCTAAAACAGATACAAAGTTGTTTATACAGTACTGTACATACTTTCACTTGGAGCTGTGTACTGTACTGTACCGTAAATAGGATAAACAAATCTCTACCATGAAGTGCACCGGCTGGGACAAGATGTATGTTTGCTGATGCAAATCTTGGTTGCAACCAACAGGATATAAAAAATTATGTAATGATGATATGTCCATCTGATTCATTAGTCTTCTCCTTTAAATGACAATAACTACAGGTACAGTATACAAAAAAAACCCTCTTCAGTACAACGCAGTATAAATGGATATTTCCACTGGTCACCTAACCACTATCTCAGTGGTTCTTAACCTTTTTTGAGCCATGGACCCCTTTGAGAATCTAGTGAAAGCTATGGAACCCCTCCCTAGAAAAATGCACATAAGCACAAACACAACTTTGCATGCAATGAATATACTTTATTTTATTGAAAATTCATTGCCTCATACAGTGTATGACATACACAAAGTATGAATAAAGTAAACATTCTAGAAGTCAAAACCCAATGACAATTGTATGTTACCTGACATTGTACAGTAGCATCCCATGCCACCCTACAGATTTACTGGTTTTCTTCAGTAACCAAAAATACATACATAACATCTGGTATATATTGACAAAAATAGAACAACTTAATACAAAAATATAGTGAATATAAATGTAAAATTTTTATCTGACCTTCACGGACCCCCTGAAGCCCATACATGGACCCCAGGTTAAGAACCCCTGCACTCTCTTGATGATTCCCAGCCATAAACACTAACTGGCTACACAGCCAGTCACTCGTGAACCTTCGTCAGATTATGTAGTCAGATAAAACAATTTCCACACTCTACACCTGTAATCACATGTTTATTCATCATTATCAAATATGGTAAAGAACATACATACGGTACCTTCAGCAAGAAGCCTTTCCGCCAGAAATGTTGCATCCACATATGCATAGTGGTTCAGGCAATGCCATATTGCTGCCTGTAAAAGAAGAATTAGAGCATGAAATCCTATTTTATAGGTGAAGAAAGTAACAAGTGACCTATACAAAGCATCCTACTAACCCCTTAGTGCCTGCCTTTGTCTGAAATCTCCGTGTTTAAGAGGCAAATACAGTAAGTCCCCGTTTAATGTTGCCCCCGATAATGTTATTTCGTTATAATGTCGCTACTCTTTAGATACCAATAATTCGATTAACGTCGCGACGACTCAATACAGTGATCCCTCGGTTAACGAATTACCTTCCAAAAGATTCTTCACATCGGTTAACGAAAAAATTTCAGTTAACAAATTCCTTACGAATTTTTCCCAACATGTTTTTGCCTGCTCACCAGCTGTAGTATTAGTCCGCCAATACAGTAATCGGTTTTAGGGCTTAAATTCGTTACCATTTGAGTAAATATCAAGAAGGTTGTACTATTCAAAAATTTTCCAAGTCTTATATTAAAGTTTTAGTCATTTTAACAATTATTTAACATAATTGAAGTACAGGGAACTAGTTTTTAGCACGCCAAACAGCCACTCAACACACCCAAAATGGCGTCAGTGTGTGTCCCTGCTCAGTGGAGGGAGTTTCTTGCTTCAGACTCTCTTGAACATTAACTACTTTTATGTTTTTACAGTACAATTATTGGTCATTCTGAAGTTTATTTTACATATTGACAATATATAATGCAGTACAGTGTTGATTTAAAGAAAATAATCTTGAATTACACCAAGTGAACTAAAATTTTATGGGTGAAATGGCACCATGGGGTGACTTCTCTTCCACCCCAATGCCTTCTCTTCTCCCTTCTCCTCCACCCCCATTCTAATTCCCATCATCATCATCAACCAGGAGCCTTCTACAGTGGGGTATGCTATAACGAACGGATCCTACTACGAATATTCCTATAACGAACGGTTTTACCTATAAAATTGAGAATGCTATAACGAACGCAACTCCTACAACGAACATTATTTAAAAATTTTTTTTTTTTTTACTAATTTATTGTTTTTTTATTACAAATATTAATGATATTCTTTATTTCAGGGGTTTAGATGTATATTTATGCACTTTTTTACAATTTTATATTATATTTTTCAGGGTTAAGTGGTTGTATTTGGGGGCCTGGAACGGATTAATCCTATAACGAACGAATGCTATAACGAACAAGGTTCTAGAACCAATTAGATTCGTTATAGCATACCCCACTGTACATGCACACCTCAAAGTAAGTGTACTTTACTGCATTTACTTTTAGTTTGTATGTAATTTTCGGTGAGATGGAACCAATTGCCCAAAATCCCATTGAAACAACGGTTTCGGTTAACGAATGACCTTCTGGAACGAATTGTATTCGTTAACCGAGGGACCAATGTACAGTACTGTACTTGTATAACGTTTTTTGGCGTCGTCACAGACTACTTTCTATGGTGCATCACCCTCTCTCGTCTTGGTGTGCTACCTCTCACTCGCGGAATGTCACAGCGTCCCCAAGCGGCGTCAGTCTTTGTTAGGCTTCCACAGCGTTCGTGCCCATCAAGTGCTACTGACGCTAGTGTTGTGAAAAAGCAACGCAAGACCATTAGCCTTGCTACAAAAATGGAGGTTTTTAAACCGGGAGGAGGAGCCACCCGCCGGGTCTCAGAGACTCGCCACCCTCCTCCTCCTCTCCCACCCCCCACCTCCATCCATCAGTGAGTACAATACAAACTGATTTAGTTTATTTATATATATACTATTTTGTATAAAAATGCCATTGAATTTCTGTATATGTAATGTAATTCGTTAGGCGAAGGAACGTAACTCCTATATTTTTCTATTTCTTATGGGGAAAATTTATTTTGTTCACATTGTGGTGTTCAGGAACAGAACCACGACGTTAAGTGAGGACTTACTGTACTGTAATGTTGCAGTATTATAACAAAACAATCTCAACAAAGTCTGAATGCTGGAAGCAGACCTCTGGCCAGGCTTGATCATACAATCTAAAAAAAATTGTCATACATAAATAAATTGTACTTCAAATATATATGAGAGAGAGAGAGAGAGAGAGAGAGAGAGAGAGAGAGAGAGAGAGAGAGAGAGAGAGAGAGAGAGAGAGAGAGAGAGAGAGAGAGAGGAGGAGAGAGAGAGAGAGAGAGAGAGAGAGAGAGAGAGAGAGAGGAGAGAGAGAGAGAGAGAGAGAGAGAGAGAGAGAGAGAGAGAGAGAGAGAGAGAGAGAGAGAGAGAGAGAGAGAGAGAGAGAGAGAGGAAAGAGAGAGGAGAGAGAGAGAGAGAGAGAGAGAGAGAGAGAGAGAGAGAGAGAGAGAGAGAGAGAGAGAGAGAGAGAGAGAGAGAGAGAGAGAGAGAGAGAGAGAGAGAGAGAGAGAGAGAGAGAGAGAGAGAGAGAGAGAGAGAGAGAGAGAGAGAGAGAGAGAGAGAGAGAGAGAGAGAGAGAGAGAGAGAGAGAGAGAGAGAGAGAGAGAGAGAGAGAGAGAGAGAGAGAGAGGAGAGAGAGAGAGAGAGAGAGAGAGAGAGAGAGAGAGAGAGAGAGAGGAGAGAGAGAGAGAGAGAGAGAGAGAGAGAGAGAGAGAGAGAGAGAGAGAGAGAGAGAGAGAGAGAGAGGAGAGAGAGAGAGAGAGAGAGAGAGAGAGAGAGAGAGAGAGAGAGAGAGAGAGAGAGAGAGAGAGAGAGAGAGAGAGAGAGAGAGAGAGAGAGAGAGAGAGAGAGAGAGAGAGAGAGAGAGAGAGAGAGAGAGAGAGAGAGAGAGAGAGAGAGAGAGAGAGAGAGAGAGAGAGAGAGAGAGAGAGAGAGAGAGAGAGAGAGAGAGAGAGAGAGAGAGAGAGAGAGAGAGAGAGAGAGAGAGAGAGAGAGAGAGAGAGAGAGAGAGTGTGTGTGTGTTTTGAAATGTCAGTCATTTTGAAATTTATGTTAAAGAATCCTGAACAGGGCTGTGGAGTCGGAGTCGGAGGAAATTTCGGCTTGTGGAGTCGGAGTCGGTAAAATTGTCCAGACTCCGACTGAAGCTATTCTGTTCCTAAGAACAAATATATGAACTCAGGCATATTCATTGCAGTGATTCCACTGATCCCACTAATTTTCTTAAATTATTAAAAGAATTTATTTCCATTTTATAAGCATTATTATGAATTTATTGTAGCAGGCACAGTATAGCACTATAATTTTGGACGATAGTCTCTTCTTTACCATTTGAAATTTTGAATTATATCAAATTTTGTTTCGTTGAAAACTGCACAGAGGCTCTCAGCTACAAAACAATTAGCTACAACCTGTTTTTGGTGAGATTAAGGCAAATTTAATTTAATAACTTAATCATGTAAGGTTTATCCATTTTCCTTAATAAGGTATTCATTTCTTTAATGTACATAAATATATAACTTTACTTTAAAAGGAATTGTAGGATCATCATTTAGATCCACATCAGATTATGAGCTTAAACAAAATTCATATGCTGAGATCGAACTTTTAGATATACATGTAAATGGTGTTTTCTAGTTAATATCTTGAATTCTTAATAAATTTATTTTTCTTTTGATTGAAACTTTGAAAGTCAAGCCTATCATCTTTTTGTAGTTCTTAAATATCGTCCAGATCATTAATAAAGCTGTAGCAGTATAGCCACGGTGTTTTACTTTTTACCTATGCAGGTTACAATATACAAATTACAATTAGGATGGTAGAAATAGTTGTTACAAATAGGCCAAGGAGTCGGAGTCGGAGTCGGAAGCATAAAAATTTGAGGAGTCGGAGTCGAAGGTTTTGTCTTCGACTCCACAGCCCTGATCATGAAGATGAAAAAATATATTTTTTTCTAATAAGAACCAGAAAGAGAAATTTAATTTGATAAAATCCATCTTCTATATATTTGTTTTGTGCATCACTAGCAATTAAGCCTTTTGTTTTTCATTTGAGTAATTTTATTGTGAATAGTTTTAGTTAATTTGATGCTTTATAAGAGAATTTTGATTCACCATTTTTCACATACTGATCTTTGTTCTTTCTTTTTTTAATTACTGTATACTACATTATTTTAGTTCTCATAATTTTGTATGATTCATATTTGACAGTTTTATTATGTTTGTTTTATTACCTTAAGATTAAGAGCATTTTAATCTTATCTTGACATTTGTGTCAATCTGTGTCATGAGTTGAGATCTACTTTCATGTTTGTGAGTAAATATCTAGTGAATTACAGCTTCATTTGAAAATATTGGGAAACATGCTTTGTATTGTCAATTGATTATACAGTAATGTTAATAGTTAAAATATTCCTAGCTAGGATTAGGAATGGAAATTTGCAAAATGTTTTGTCCACATCTCCCTAATTTTCATACAGTAAAACCTTGATAACTCGGTACGTAAGGGGCTCTGGCCTTGCTGAATTATCCCAAATTCCAACTTTTGGGGCACTTCCAGCCCACCCCCTACAAAAATACAATAAAAATTATTGGCCCATATACATATTACTGTACTGTACTTGTAATTACAAATTTTCAAAAAGTAGCACTTAACAGCACTGCAGGCGAAGAATGAAGTATTGTAGTAGGCAAGAGGCATGGTAGGTGACACGGGAATGCTAGGTGACTCGGGAATGGTAGGCGACTCAGGGGAATGGTAGGTGACGCAGGGGAAACGCTACATAAACAGTAAACTGTGCGGCACTTATGTACAATATACTACTATAATTTGGTCACTTATACAAAATAAAAAATTAATTTAACAATAATTAATCGTTTAGAACTATGTATGCTGTAATTCAAGTCTGAATATGTAAATAAACATGTAACTTATATCACTAAAGATAATAGTCCACCCTAGTAAAAACCGTTTTCTTTATTACAGAGCAAAAGAGCACAAATTAAAATACTTTAATAGAGCTTAGAAACAGCGACCCCATGAGCTCTATGGGAGCCCAGCGATTCCATGAGCTCTATGGGAGCCCAGCGACTCCATGAGCTCTATGGGAGCCCAGCGACTCCATGAGCTCTATGGGAGC